TAAATTGCTTGGTAGTTTTTTCATCTAATTATATATGATAAATTTTTGATCAATCTAATATCTAATATGATTATTGATATTAAAAATAACCAGAAAATTTGCAAATTAACAAATAATCAGAAAATTACTAATAAATAAAATAATCAAGTACATTGTATGTATATCTGTGTACATATACAATGATGAAATATTAATTATAAAATGATACGGTAGTTATATTAGAGAAAATTCAAATTAATATTTGCTATATTTGAGAATTTTAATAAATTGAAAGTGTTCCATATATTGTTCATACCGACATAAACAAAATTAACTTTTGAAATAGTATATACAAATAAAATAAAAAAAAAAAAAAAATATGATATATGACCAGATTGTGAAAATTCAGCAAAAACTTCCGCATTAGTTTGAATCAAATACCAATTTTTATTTTTTTTATTTTGAGGTGATCATACGTCCCGGTTTGGCCTTGACAGTTCCGGATTTCCACCTTGTGTCCCGGATTTGGATCTTTTATCTCGGATTGTCCCGGGTTTTTGAAAAGTATCAACTTAATTGAATATTTGCAGGTACTTGAATATAAAAATCAGAATTAATTCCAATAACAATTATAAAATATAAAATTCTGCTTCGTGAAGTTAAGAAAACGTTGATGTGCAAATTTATGCAAAAGAGTGCACTAATTTACATTTCACAAAATGCACCATATATTTACAATTGCATCATTCCTTATATCATTTTGTTTTGTTTTAAAACAAATCGAAATTGATGTAACTCAAAATGAGAACTCCTTTGCAATCACTTAAGGCGGCCTGGACAGCTGCAGATTAAATATTTCGCAAACATCTGCACATTCGACAAACGCGGATCATTAATAAAATCACTCTTCAATTTGGCACATTGTTATAAACGCGCCTTACGATTACGATTAATTCGAAATTAACAAATCTTTGTCCGCGCAACCTTGCCATGCGGAATGTCCAATTCTCCAATAACGAAATTATGACACACGGGATCATGTACAGAACGGGTACAAAAAAGGCGAGAACCGACGTTGCCTTCAAGACAACATGTATTAGAAGATAGTTATCTCCTCGCGCATGTGTTACAGTTATACAATACGCACATACCTCACCGATCTTGGCAGAGATGGGAAACATTTTGGTGAAAATTACTTCCATCACCAGAAATCAACGTTTGCTGCCCACTCAGTGCCCAATGATGCCAATAATAGTGAATCCAAAAGAATTAAAATTTTGTCACAAAATAGCAGAAATATAATGATAAACCAGATCAGAGAATAGTAATAAATTTTTTTTTCAGAAGTATATTTAGACTTGATACACCCAAGTCAGAAAGGCATAACGTAGTGTACCATTTGAACTGTTCCACGCTTGAAGTTTCGAATCCAAAAATGTTGTTAAGAGTTTTGCAAAAATAAAAATTCGCAAATGGATTTATGTCTAATGATGACCAGATTATAATGACAAACAATTCTTTTCAAAAGAATAGTTAGACTTTTTTGTCCAAGTCAGCAGTAACAAGCTGCAGCAGATGTATTGTCTACTGGTATTTTTATTATCCGAGTATGTAGGTCAGACTATAATGATATTAGTACATTTCTTCTCGCGAAAACAAACTAAACGATGTTTGATAAATTCAGCAAAGGCATTGGATAGTGCATCATTTGAGGTTATTTTTAAGGAGACTATTTCTCAATATATGAATTAATAAGTGATTTATTGTGTAAATTATGCTTTTCTTGGCATTAACATATGATGGGGTATAATTATTTTCAAAGCTTTACAATTTGATAAATATATTTTAATATTATAATAATCAACAATATAATTCATAATATTTTAAATTACATATTACTCTAAATATCAAATATTATAAATGACTAGGATAATTCACATAACAAATTAGAACATGACGAAATCGATTACTTCTATTAAAATTCCGGTAATATCCTTATATCGAGGTCACTACTAAATTATTTTTAGCTTTAATATAAATTTAAAAGTTTAAATTCCATGTATCTTCTAGATATGTTCTAGAAAGTATTGTGATATATTCTAAAATCTCAAAAGTGAAAGTAGAACGTTATATTTATAGAATTGCAATCAGCATTTTCTATAAAGCTTTTTCCCAAAAAGTTTTTGATATTGTTCTTGGAAAATAAATCGCAGAGAAACCAATATTGCAATCTTGGCATTTTGCATTTTTCTTGTTTGATAGCCAAAGTCATAAAAAAACTAAATCATTTTGGTTTTCTTGTTTCAGGCGACTTTCATTACCTAAATCATGTCAACCGTATTTTTCTTGAGGGACATTTCAAAGTCAAATTAGGGTGAAATGAGAGACAGTAAAATTTAAGTAAAATTTATGTTAAAATTATAGAAATAAAATGCACAAAACCTCACCTTGATCGAATTACTGGTTTCCCTAAATAATTCAATCTCAAAAAACTTAAAATTTAACTAGCTGTAAGTGGAATTCTGTCTTGAGGCATTTATGGCATTGTGCCTTAAGGCAAATTGCTGGAACTTCTCGTACCGTAACGAAATGTTCGAGGAATACTGAATGTTTTCAAATAGATTATTATAAATATTGTAACATTGTCTAATATTTATAAGAATTATATAAACTGAATTGCAGAGGTAGAATTAGAACTATAGTCAGAATTAAAAATAAAATCTGAAATATTTTCGATATACAAAAAAATAAAAAAATAAAATGGAAAAATTTTTTTATTCCAAAATCAATTATTTTGTTAAGACAAGCAGAAAGTTCTTTAAATCATTTAAATCGGACACTTAGTTCTCTCAAAAACTGCCATTTTTTACATATTTAGCTCCGTATCTTCAAAATGACTGGGCCTGCCTTTGCCAAAAATTAATAAACACTTCTCCCAATCATTACTAATTGAATGTTTTTTAGACCATTCAAATCGGATACTCCGTTCTCTCTAAATTTCGATTTTTATTTTCTGCACTCTTTGCTCCGTATCTCCGAAACGGCTGGACCTGCCTTTGCCAAAAACTAATCAGCTCTTTTCCCTATCAATAGGAATCGAATGTTTTTTGAACCATTCGAATCGGTCGATCCGTGCGCCCTAAAACGTGACTGGAATTTTGTATCCATACATACACACACACACATCCATTTTTTCTGAGGTATGCCAAAATGTTCAGAAACCTTCAAAACGTCGAGAAATGTAAAAAATTTCAATTCCGATTTTCGGCCCATTACAATAACTTACCTTAACGGGAAGTTAATAAATAGTTTAATAGTTTGATAAATGTGGATTATTTATCGATAATTCATTAACTGTGGATTATTCAAAATTTTGGTTATAACCTGAGCAGTATTTATGAAACAAGCAAAGTACATGGTTATTAACTTCCCGTAGGGCAAGTTATAGTAATCGCAAAAAAATCGAAAATGAAATTTTTTATATATCTTTACGTTTCAGAGGTTTCTGAACATTTTGGCATACCTTAGAAAAAATGGATGTATGTATGTGTGTGTGTGTGTGTGTGTATGTATGTATGTATGTATGTGCGTGTGTGTATGTATGTGCGGATACAAATTTTCGTCGACGATTTCGGGAACACGGATCAACCGATTTGAATAATTCAAAAAGCATTCGATTCGTATTGATAAGGAGACGTGCTGATTAGTTTTTGGCGAAGGCAGGTCCAGCCGTTCCAAAGATACGGGGCAAAAAGTGCCGAAAACGGTAACTCAGTTTTTAAGAGAACGGAGCGTCCGATTTTAATAATTCAAAAAACATTTTACTTGTATTGACAAGATGAAGAATTGATCAAGTTTTCATGAAGGCAGGTCTAGCGGTTTCGGAGATCTAATGATAAAAGTAAAAAAAAATGCCAGTTGGCGGTCAAAAATGATCATTAGACATCAAATTATCAGATATTTTATAAAGATATTATCAATAAGTATAATTTTTTTTTACATTTTTATGGGTTCCGTACCAATGCTTATCCGTTAGACGGCGGCGCGGCAGTTGCGCGCTTTGACATTTTGTCTCTATGCAGATAAAGCACTACGATTGCTTTGAAAAACAGTTCAGAATTTCCAAAGTATGTCAAAATGAAAAAAACATTTTTTCCAAAAAAATTTGTTTTCAAAAAAAATTTTTTTTTTCAAAAAAAGTAATTCTTTGTCAAATTTATAGTTTCTCTCTAATTTTTGAAGTAAAATTATTTTTGGTACGGGAAGTTCCAGCAATTTGCCTTAAGGCACGATGCCTTAATTGACTTAAGACAGAATTCCACTTACAGCTAGTTGTAAAATATTATTGTATTTAATCAAGTAAAATTTATTACTAAAATTTGGGTAAAAATATTATGCACATCAAATTTGTTCTGTTTATTTTATATTCGTTACTCCAAAATGTTCGTCACACCGGTTACGCCAAATTGGTACGTGCATGGACGGCCTTACCGAAAAAAGTAACAGAACGCCCGATGAAATAATAATACTGAACCAGTCGGACACAAGTAAAAAAACGTGAAAGTGATTTTCGGTATCGTAATCCAAAACAATTCGAACAAAACGTGCCCAACGCGTGTTGAGTTCTGGCAGACATCAATGTAATAACTTTGATATTATTTCACATCTGTTGGCACGCTGACAAGGTCATTAACGAGCGTCATTCAATTTATGTAATTAAGTAAGTTAGTTAACCGATTTTTTATGTAGGTTATACATATAATTCTGAGAAATTGTATAAGTTAGAGTAAAGAATGTGATAAATCACCTTATTATGTGATTTCGTGAATTTGATTTGATTTTACAGACAATGAACATCATGCATTTTAAAAAATGCCTTGATTTTTTTGAATAAATACTGAAATAAAAGAAAGCATATTTCAACTCTTCTTTATGATAATTGTTTCGCATAAATTAAAGAATATTTATGTGTTAAATACATTTATTCTTTACAAATTTCATTCTAAGGTCGTATATCAAATCTAGTGATGGTAGGTAGTGGTGGCGTGGTGGACGGGACTGGCGTAGGCTAAGGTTTTGGCAACAACTGGAGCAGCTGCGTAGTGAGCAGATGCATAATGGACTGGAGCAGCGTAAGCTACTGGAGCAAAAGTTTTTGCTACAACTGGAGAAGCAGCAGCGTAGGTGGTGTATTGCACTGGAGCGGCATAGGATTTGGTTACTACTGGAGCAGCGGCGTAGGCCACTGGAGCAGCAGCGTATGATACTGGGGCGGAGTATGCAACTGGAGCTGGGGCAGCATAAGCTACTGGGGCGGCTACGGTCTTGGCTACTACTGGGGCGGCAACGACTGGAGTTGCTACTTTAGCTACAACTGGAGCAGCTACTTTAGCTACAACTGGTACAAGAGGTTCACGACGAACAACAGCGTTGAATCCATTGACGGCATCAGCGGTGTAGTCTACGGTGCGCTTGTGGCCATCAGCATCGACTAAGGAGTATGATCCGGATACAGAGTCACCAAGACGGGTTTCGTGTTGGCTTTTTGAGTCTCCAGTCAGAGAATCTTGTACGGAGTATCCAAAACTGTATTCAGCTGGTCCATCAACTACGGTCTTGACAACTGGGGCAGCGGCGGCGTAGGTAACAGGTGCTACGGTTTTAGTGACAACTGGTGCAGCGGCGGCATAAGTGACTGGTGCTACAGGTTTAGCTACAACTGGGGTAGCATAGTGAGCAGGTGCGGCGTAGGCATATTGAGCAGGTGCGGCGTAGGCATATTGAGCAGGAGCAGCATATGCCAAATGAGCCTTGGCGACGACTGGAGCAGCGGCATAAGCTAATGGTGCTGAGTAGCTTGTGGAGTAGCTGTGTACTTCTGGAGCTGTCAATACTCCAGCACGTGCTACGGCCAATACGGCGGCGAAAACAAAAAGCTAAAAACAAACAACTTAATTTAATTCTGTGCGTAATTTATCAATCAATCAATTATAAAGATCTTAATTGATAACAAAAATCAATTTTTTCTCAAAATCAATTGTCATTAACTAAATTTAATAACAAATATTAATTTATCCACATATAAACCCACCTTGAATGCCATTGCTGTGATGTTTCTTGAATGAAGAACGAAATTTAATTCATGTCAACTTTGGGGCGAACAAGTCTTTTATATGCGAATCGCCAGTCCGATATCAGTGACATTACATATTAATTATTCATGATCAACAACCACACAAATATAGTTCATATACCATATTCAAATTTGCATAATGTTCAACGGCTCCTTATAATCAATCTTAATAAAGAAGTCAATTAATACAATTTATATTGACCATATTTTATCTATCAATAGAATTTAAAATATTTGCATTAAAAAGATATGATTTTCAATAAAAATCAAATAACAATCTTTATATCTTGCAAAATAATGATTTTTTTTTTCAATATAAAGAATCTGGTATTATTAAATGTGGCATCTTTTTTAAACAGAATTGTTCGCAATTTTGTTTTAAACAAATCATGTAACGTGTAATTAATTTTGCTATTTTCAATAATAATTATTCAACATATTCGAAAAAGTTTTGCTCTTAAAAGCTTGCAGAACAATCTGAATTTCAAATACTATACTACAGATATGCAACTCTGGCTGTATTTCCATCGAAAAAACATAGTATTTAATCTTTTTGTGAAAACTCTTGATATACCGATTTTTTGCATGTCGATTTAACCAATGTTCGACCATTGTAAATAATGTTTTACGACAATAATTGTGTAATTAATTTTGCTATTTTCAATAATAATTATTCAACATATTCGAAAAAGTTTTGCTCTTAAAAGCTTGCAGAACAATCTGAATTTCAAATACTATACTACAGATATGCAACTCTGGCTGTATTTCCATCGAAAAAACATAGTATTTAATCTTTTTGTGAAAACTCTTGATATACCGATTTTTTGCATGTCGATTTAACCAATGTTCGATCATTGTAAATAATGTTTTACGATAAATTATCATACTGACTTGACATGAAGTATGATTAATTGCAGTGAATAGAATGCGTATAATATAATATTGCTTGAGATTTTCAGAAGACGTTTTTGGCTGTCTTAGCATATTATCCAACTCAGGGTAGCATAATAAAACCTGAAAGTTTCTATTGGTTCTATCGTATTGATAAAATGATACTCATCAATTTAATGCAACCTTATATCTATAAAAATGCACTATACAGTTGTGACATGGCCTGAAGATTGCATTATTGAATAAAATTTCAGTATGAAAACTTTAAAAGTTTCACATTACACACTTAATTCTTTCTCAGATTGAGAAATTATGTCAGATCATAATTTAATTGATAACAATTAATAATTAAAAATAGCATAAATTAAAAACAGTAGAATTATTTTTGATTGATTTTATTTTTAAGAAAAGACATGAAATTATTATATGATCGAAAAATAATTTTTGAAAGTTATCATTAATTATTATAAATGTTGCCTAATATGAAAATGTAGTGAAATTTCATCATTGTGAAAGAAGGAATAAGAAACATGTACTTACCTTAAATTTATCTTCTATAATTTTATTGCATACTAGCCGGCCCGACAGACTTCGCCCTGTCAAAAAAAATTGTAATGTGGCGGTGTTTTGTGCCTACCTTTTTTCTATTCTTTGCAAAAAATTATCCTGAACAGAACCGTCACCCTGGTAATAATTCGTTGTGAATTAAAAATAATTAAATAAAACACTATAAGCATTTAAAAGTAAGTAATTTTAATAATGTAAATCATAATTCAAAAATCAGTTCAATTTTCATTGTAGTGCTTTGTGATAAACGATGTTTTTAGTTTGATTACCTGGCGCATAGACAAACAAATCTGATGGTTTTCCAATATGGGAACAAACAACATACAATTTTCCATGTGAGAAACATGGGTTTTCTAAATTAATACCACAAACACTTAATGATACCATAAACGCACTGGAAACGCATTGGGATGCATGGTGCGAGAACATCTCTCTTCTGATTTATACTATCTTTTGAATATAGTTGGTCGATATTTTGCAACATTATAATTGCCGATCCAACCTTTGATTGAAAATTATGAGGTGACAATCCTAGCAAATCCAGCGAGTTTAAAAACTCCGGTAGATCGTCTTGGTTAGTTGCCGAATCAACTGATTCGCCTGTAATTTGTTCTTGAATTTTGAAATTTAATTAATTTACATCAATGTTTTTGGCTGCCAATATAGCTTGATTAATAGAAAGATATTTCTATGTTTATATAAATATATTCAAAATTAGATTATCAAAAACTACACAAAATGTCATGACATAGATCATTGTTTTTTTACAAATTGCGTTGCCTACTCGATTAAAGAAGAAAAGGGCTGTTTTTAGAATTTTCCCGCCAATTATTCGTTTTTTTCTCGCCGTAACAACCATCCTTGGACTTCAACGAACATTTTAAAAAAAGAATTGGCCAAATTGGTCCAGGCGTTGTTGAGTTATGCGCTTACCAACACATTTTGCAATCCATTTTTATATATAAGATGTGATTTTAAAAAATGTACAAACTAAAATATAAATCACAAATATTTTAAGAAATGCCATTGTAACAAATAAGTAGGATTGTAAGTTTCATTAAAAACGAATGACCTTTAAATTACGAAGAAATTTTTGCTTGAATCTAATCAGCACAATTATCAAGTTTGGAAATTTTTTCTAACGTTATTTAAATTTTCAATCCTAATTCAGACATTTTTGTAAAAACATGGATAAAAAGTTTTGCACTTTTCTATTAATTTTGAAGAAATGTCCTAGTCGGTCATCTTGCGAAATGCATCAATGTCCTTAAGGAGTTACATCGAATGACATTTAATTCTTTGAAATCCGTTCAGCTGTTTTTGAGGAAACGTGGATAAAACGTCGAATTGTGACTTACATACACACGCAAAATACTTTTTCTAATTTCAGTGTCAAACAAAGAAGAACGTTGAGAACAAATAAAAATGGTAAATCGAAATTTCTGGTAAAAACATAAATTTCTCTCTAGAAGTTAATAAGTTAACAAATGCAACAGCAATTTGCAAAATATTATTAGTAAATATATCGTAAAATCTTTAGATGTATAAAACTTTCTTGTTGTGGTAAATATTTGTAGTGATTATTTTTACTAATTGTTATTAGAACCATTGGTTGAACTTTACTAATTGGGATAATATTTTAGCTTTATTGAATAATGTAATGCACAAAAACCTATGTTCACTAGTAAATATTTATGAATCATAATTTTAAGGTAAAATACATTTAGCTACTGCTTGATATCAATATGTGAGGAAACCAGAAATTTGAACTCGGAACCTTGTGGTTAAAAGGCCAACGCGCCTTACCATTTCCATCACTCCTCATATGAAAATCTAGGTATCAACATAATTTAAGTGAACTAATTATATAAGTAAAAAAAATGTATCATAAAAATGTAAAAAAGCTTCTTTTACTTTTACCTTCTTGTCTTTTTGTATGGAAGAAATCGCAAATGTAATGTAACAACCATGAGATCGAAACGACCTTGAGATCCGCCTATGCCGCGGGCGATTATGATAAATGAAATACAAATTAGCGGTATATGAAACAGGTAGTACGTTTTTACTGCAGGAATATTTGTATTATATTCAAATAAGATCAAAAGCTGATCTATATAAAATTTAGATATTTCCTCTGATAATTACGCATTTCAAAATAAACTTTATAAGGTTACCGGGATCTATTAATCAATATGACATTTTTTATGAAGGTCGACTTTTTTTTACAATTCAATGATCTTTTGTCCAAGTAATTTTAAACGAATGTACCTGTAGGCAATCTATTTGAATCATGCTTCCTCGTTAAAAAAATATTAAGAAAAGTTGACAGTATTTAATCATAGTGTTCAGTAAAATTAATAATTGGTTTATGAGTTCATTTAAAAGATTTATATCACTAAATGATATTGTTTGAATTATTGTTAATATAATTATTAAGTTCCCGTAGGTTAAGTTCTAGTAATCGCAAAAAATCGAAAATAATTTTTTTTGCATATATTAACGTTTCAAATGTTTCTGAACATTTTGGAATACCATGGAGAAAATTGATATATGTGCGCGTGGATGTGTGTGTTCGGATACAAATTTTCGCCGACGATTTGGATAAGTAAAAAAACATTCAATTCCAATTAATGAGACATGCTGATTAGTTATTGGCAAAGGCTGGTCCAGGCGTTTTGAAGATACGAGGCAAAAAGTACAAAAAACGGTACTTCAGCTTTTAACAGAACTGAAAGAGCTTCCGATTTGAATAATTCAAAAAACATTATATTTGTATTACCCAAATAAAGAAGTGATTAAATTTTTGGGTAGGCAGGTCTAGCGGTTTCGGAGATTCAATAAAAAAAGTAAAAAAATGCCACTTTGCGGTCAAAAATGATTATTAGGCATATGCACATCAAATTATCAAATATTTTATAGAGTTTTCAATAATAAGTATAAATTATGTTTACAATTTTATGAGTTCCGTTTCAATGTTTATCTGTTAGACTACTACGCGGCGCTTACGCGCTTCGATATTTTGTCTTTACGCAACTTACGCAGTGCGATTACTTTAAATTAGTTCAAAAATTTCAATATATAGAAAAATATTTCCAATTCTTAAAAAAAAAGTCTTTTTTTTCAAAAATTTCAAGGTTCACAAAAATCTCATTTTTGCAAAGTTTTTGAAAAAACTTGAAGCTTTTTTAAAAAAATTAATTTTCGGTGCAGAAAGTTCCAGCAACTTGTCTTAAGGTACAGTGCAACACACCACTAGTTTATACTAATTTCTGATACAAAGTCAGTGTTACTTCTAGTTCCACTTCTGTTGATTTTTTTTTTTGAATTTCCAAAGTTATAACATTT